ATCAGAGAGTGGGTGTCTTTCCCCAGAGTGTCCATGGAAAACTCGTCACCTATGTTCCCAGGACGTAGACACAATATTTGCACGGAGGGTCAGCCCACAGACATTCTGATCTCTTGGAGGTCAAGACCTGACTCAGGACTCAGTCACCACTTGGAGATCTGAGTTTGGATGAGATGAGGGAAACAGCTGCTTATAGATGATTTTTAGAATCTCACAGTTGGAAACGTCTTCCCTCTGTAGCTTCGATTCCTTGTGAAGGCCATGGGCATTTAGCCCAGTGACAGAAAACATACTCGGCAGGCTCGAAGAAGACATGACCTCAGGAGGGCATCAGCTTCTGATGAATAGCCCTCTGCCCCTGCCCCTGCCCAGGAGTATCTTTACCCTCCATTTAGGCTCCTGTGTCTCCCAGCTTCAGCTCCATGCCTACCTACAAGGGGGAGGTTCCTATCTTTCTCCTCAATAACCAAGTAGCTCTCACTTTATTTGTTGATGGAGGTTCTGGTCCTAAAAAATGAAGTAAGTTTAGATATAGAGGCCTCCAAAGACCTAGTTTAGGGTCTACATTATTCTACAAAACACAGAGGTCCATGGGAAGGACAGTTAAAAAATCTTCCCAAGATGTGTTCTTGGTCACACAGGACCACATGGACAGATGTGGCAGTATCCTAAGAGATTTGTTTCTGGGCACAGGGACAGGTCCCTCAATGAGCCAGCTGAGTTTGGAACTGTGGGTGACAGTTCCCAGTCACTGGGGTGAAGTCATAGGGTGGCTAGTACCGGTCACAGCTGCAGTGTGTGCATAGAATGCCTGCCTGATCCCATGGCTGAGAACACCAGAGGGCTTTGATGGAACTCTCCCAGTGTTTGGGAAATGTTTGGGCCTTGCAAAAACACAAATGCTTTTTCTCAGCCACTTCATTTGCCTTTCATCTGCTTTGCCCTTCCTGTGTGTGCAGATAGATGGAGCCCATGTGTTCCAAAGGCCTTCGCTGAGTTTACTGCAGTATGAATATTCTGGGAGACTGTTGGATGTTCCCATGGTCAAGGTCCTCTGCCTTTGAAGGATGATACATCTGCTAGGAGGTGTGCTCTAGCACACCTGATGTGGTATACTGCCATAAGGATATGGGGTGGTGGCAATGGCCCTCCCATCCTATCCTTAGAGAAGACCCAGGCTGTCTCCTGGGACTGAACATGGTGAGTCCAAAGCAGCTTTTTCTCTGGTAATGTAGCTCTCATATCCCAGCTACTTGGGAAGTCAAGGCAGGAGGATCACAGTTTTGAGGGCTACTGGAGGCTTTAAAGTTCTGCCTGGATAACTTAGAAGGAGGGTAGGGCAGTGGGTCGTTGGGAGAGGTCTTGTCCACTGTGCAAAAAGAACTTGTCTTTCACCACCCAGCACCATCTGCAAAGAGATTCTAACAGCTGGAGCAGGGGCCATGCACATGGCCTGAGCCTCCAGAGCTCTAGGAGTCCAAGAGATAAGGGTCCTTTCCCATCACTGAGTCTCCCATCTCCTGCAAGTCTAGAGAACAGACCACTAGAACCACCTGGGATTTTTTTCTGATCATAGTAGGCTATGGAGAACATACACAGATCTTGGGAGGGCTTTGGCTCAGGGACAGAGTACTCACTCGTTTGTGTCAGACCCTCATTCAGTCTGTGGACTGCAAAAGGGAAAAATGATGGTTCCCTTCCAGCATGAGTTTCTGTCCCCTTAAAGAGTGATGGAGTCCTAAGAGGTCGATGAATGCAGCCTGTTCATACACGGCTGCATCATAGTCATCTTGCTTGTCATTGAACAGTCTTTGTGGGTGCCATCTCCTGTGACCGCTTGCTATTCTGTTGGAAGGCTGTACTGCGGTTCCCTTACCCAGTCTTGGTCATTTACACAGTTCCCAGTTTTTTGCTTTATAAATAATATGTATGAAGCACCTTTGGGGCAGAAACTGTTTGTGTTTTGGGTTTTTTACTTTGATTTCTAGAAGTTGCTTATGATGCTCAGGGATAGAGTATACAAAAGTTACCAAAACCCATCTGCAAAGCATGGCTGTCACAGACTGCAGGATGAGGGCTGGGGCTGGTGATGATGTGTGCAGGACACTCTGGCTATGGCCATAACACTGACAACATCTAGTTTATATCCTTGAAGCACTTATTGGATGTGGGGATCTACAGCGTGTATCAATTGCCCAAAGGAAGAGAGGCTGTACCCACAAGGGTCTATCCATGGGATATTCTGTATATATTCATCCTCCATTTTCCAGAGTACTCCCCAGAATCCTTTTGTCTACATAGCTACCCTTTCATGGCTCATTTGGGGTGTATGTGGTTAAGTGGATTGTTTTTCTTTCATGGTTTTTATAATAGAAAAATTTCAAGACACGTCATCCACGTGTCCAATAGAGATGGTTTGGTTTGGGGGAATTTGAGGTAGGGTATAGCATCTGCCAGAGCCCATACTCCACAGGTGTAATACAGATGTTGGCAGTATTTGTCACCCATCCTTGTAGGCATAATCTGTTTACATGAGCATCTGTCCTTGGCAGCATGAGCCCGTTGTCAGAGCACTGTGTGATATAGAGACATGGCATCTGGTGATACAAACCATCATTACCTCATCGCCCTGCCAGAACCTCCATCCTCACCTGGGTTCTAGGAGTTCAAAAGGCTTCTCTTACTGTGTATGTGTGTCAGAAGGGACAGCCAAACTGCTGTATGGAACTGGCAAGCAGATTCAGGCACTCTGTATGCTTAATGCTCTCCCTGAGGGCTGCAACTAACTATGTATGTGTGCCTATGGAAGATCATGGGTATCTCTTGTGTGTCTTTTCTCCACTTCCTGCCAGTCGCTTCTGTTTGGCTGGCTTGTCCAGCGGGAAAATGAAGGGCCCCTGCGCCACGCTGTTACCTTGTCCTGGCAACCCCCTATTCAGACATCTATAATTACAGGGCTTCCGCAAACTCAGCTTGTTTAAAGACTTCAAAGATTTTGTCAAACCCGTCGTCTGGACAAGTGAGTTTTGGGCTTGTGATTCGTCATCTCCCTTCCCATGAGCTTTCTTCCTCTTCTGCAGCTTGAGTGACCACGTCCCCATCCCAAGGGCCTATGTTCCTCAGGCCATGCTTTGACTCTGTGGCTCCCCTACTATATCTTACCTGAGTAGTTAACAACTTGTGTGCTTAAACTCCAATTGTTTCTCCAGGTCTAGCAGAGTTACTTTCCCCCCTCTCAGACTCCTGGCCTCTGCAGAATAGATCCCTTTCTCTGTCTCTGTGGTTCTCTCTTCCTTTGATCTGTTGTTTGCTCCAGACCCAGAAGCATTTAGTCTATAAAGGGCTCAGAGAGGCATCTTGCAGTGCCCTGTAATTTATACAGCCATTACTGACATAGTAGGATACCCATTCTTATTTGGCCTAGCTCCATTGGCCAAAAGCAATAGCCAATCCAGGGACAAATGGGGATGGAAGCAAGTTCTACCCACCCCTAAAATGCAAAGAATACAGGCCTCTTTATGGCATGAGAAAAATATTCAACTAAGCATTGCCAGTGACCACTTCCAACAGAATGCAAATTAAACTCCGAATATAATCCTGGGGTGGGGAAAGAACAGCCATGAAGATTTCAGAGTGTCATTAAAATCAGTTTGGTTGAGCATAGAGGCTCGTGCCTGTAATCTCAGGATCAGGGGTTGAAGCAGGAAGATTGCTATAGGTTCCAGGCTTTGGCAACAGTGTGGACTTTTTTATCAGCCTGCTCTCCTCCAAAGGGATGCACTTCCTCATGGTGGGACTTACCTTAGCTCACTAGGACCTGAACTAACATACCCTGGTTCTATACAGTTATTCTTTTTTCTTTCTAGAAAGAATATTTTGAATAATACAGCTTTATTAAAACTTCATGTAACATATAAACGTAATTTTATGTATTTGATAATTTTAGTGAAATATATTTTACACATAAAAAGATACTGTATAATATGTAAATATTTCAAAGGCTTTTTATAAGTAAATATAACCCAGAGACAGATTGGGGTTCAAGCTGAAGAACAGAGAAGCAAAGCAGTAAAGACAGTAGCTCTTACCTTTACCAAGCTGAAATGGCGATCCTGTCTCCACGAATCCTCAGAGGCAAATGCTCCGAGTTCTGTCTGCTTTATATTCCTTTCTCTGCCCAGCCATATCACTCCTGTCTTCACCTCTGCTAGGATTAAAGGTGTGTAATCCTAAGTACTGAGATCTGCTTTGTGTACTGAGAGCTGTTTCTTTTTAGACTGATTCATCTTGTGTAGCCCTGGGTGGTCTTGAACTCACAGAGATCTATCTGCCTCCGTCTCCTGAGTCTTGGGATTAAAGGTGTGTACCACCACTGCCTGACCTCTATGGCTTGTGGCTAGCTTTGCATTCGGAACCCCCAGGCAAGTTTTATTAAATCATAAATAATGTATTACCACGAGAAAATAATTTTTCAAGGCAGAGTGTGACCCTGGCTATCCCAGTACTCGCTCTGTAGATGGGGCTGGCCTCAAACTTGGGAGGCAGATCTCCAAGTGCTGGGATTGAAGGCCTGCGCTACCACTGCCCAGCTGCAAATAAACGTTTCTTAGTCTTGCTTTACACATTTTTAAAGCCATCAAATAAAGCATTTTATGTATTTAGAAATTAAGTATATTTTTAATGCAGGCAGACTATAAAGTATTACTCTTTAGATCGATAGCTCTAATAGTTCTGTTTAGATCAATATAAAGTATACTAAACATTATTACTCTTTAGATTTCAATAACAATGTTAAAAACAATTCAAGGAATATTGAAATATGTATACTTGTGTGTGTGGTGCTGGTGATCGAACCCAGGGCCTTGCACACACTAGGCCGTAGGATGAAGTACTTTTATATGTTAGGCAGGAGGGTGAAACCAGACACAGGGCTCTGCTCCTCGGGGGTTGCGCCCTTCCTTACAGCATACTGATCTACTTACTGTTCTTGCTCTCCTCAGGTATAGGCAAGAACGTCATCTGTGACCGTACCGCCACGCCACTAGACGCCTTCCGCATGATGTCCGCAGCCCACTACTACCCCAAGCTCATGAGCATCATGGGCAACGTGCTGCGCTTCCTGCCAGCCTTCGTGCGCATGAAGCAGCTGATCGAGGAGGGCTATGTGGGCGAGCTGCTGGTGTGCGAGGTGCAGGTGCACAGCGGCAGTCTGCTGGGCAAGAAGTACAACTGGAGCTGCGACGACCTGATGGGCGGTGGCGGCCTGCACTCCGTGGGCACCTACATCATCGACCTGCTCACCTTCCTCACAGGCCAGAAGGCCGTGAAGGTCCACGGGCTGCTCAAGACCTTTGTAAAGCAGACGGACCACATTAAGGGTATCCGTCAGATCACCAGCGATGACTTCTGCACCTTCCAGATGGTGCTGGAGGGGGGAGTGTGCTGCACCGTTACCCTGAACTTCAACGTTCCTGGAGAGTTCAAGCAGGACGTGACTGTGGTGGGCTCTGCTGGCCGTCTCCTGGCAGTGGGCACTGACCTCTACGGGCAGCGCAATAGTGCCCCGGAGCAGGAGCTGTTGCTGCAGGACACTACGTCCGTGAGCAACTCCCTGCTGCCTGAGAAGGCGTTCAGCGACATCCCCTCGCCCTACCTGCGGGGCACCATGAAGATGATGCAGGCAGTGCGCCAGGCCTTCCAGGATCAGGATGACCGGCGCACGTGGGACGGTCGGCCTCTTACCATGGCTGCCACCTTCGACGACTGCCTGTATGCTCTCTGCGTGGTCGACACCATCAAGAGGTCCAGCCAGACTGGAGAGTGGCAGAACATTGCCATCATGACAGAGGAGCCAGAGCTGAGTCCCGCCTACCTAATCAGTGAGGCCATGCGCAGAAGCAGGATGTCCCTCTACTGTTAGCACTGGGACCTGTCTGACTCGATCGACCGACCTGCTGCGTGGGGCCATTTAGAGGGAACTGCACTGTGGAGAGGGTAGCCATGGGTGGGGATTGCGGGAGGGGAAGCTTGAATGCTCAGCACGTAAGAAGACGGTCCCCATCCTAGGCAGAGGGTTCCGATTAAAGGTGATGGTGGGCCGACTTCATATTCAGGAGGGCGTGTCCTAATTGGGTATCTGATGAAAGGAAGGTTTAACTAGCACCTTTGTAGTCCATTACTGTGAGAAGCAAGGAGGGCTCGCCCCCTGCCCTACCTCATCCATCTACATACCTTGGCTTTCTTTGCAAGCTAAGGATATGTGTATCTGATGACAATTTCAGTGGGAGCTAGGCTTTCTGTCAGCACCCCCCACTGGCAGGAGAAGGCACATCATCATCAAATGTCAGCAAAGTTTTTTTGTTTTTTTGTTTTTCGGTGTAGGGAAGTAGAGGGGGAGGTGGGTGGGGCTGGAGAGAGAGTTGTGATTCCTGGAAGCCAGCTGTGTTTTACTTAAAGGATCTGAAAGAAAAGCAGTTGGAGCAGAGTGCACAGCTTCCTTGGCTGCTTTATGTCCCAGGAAGCATGAGGGCCTGTCTAACTGGCTCATTGCTGTTCCCCTGGTACAGTGGGCATTGTAATGGAGAGTGAACAAGGTGGTAAACTGTACCTCGGAGGTGGCTAAGACGACAGACAGGCTGCAAGGAACCACTTCAGAGCCCTCCTTCGGTGGCCAGCGGAACCTGGTGTGAGTGGCAATCAAGTTGCCCTGCCTCAAGGCTCTCTGGGCAGCATGGGCTTGACGGTAGCTGCCTGTCTAGGTGAGGACAGCTGCAGTCCTGGGTGTCGCAGTATGAGCTCCCCCAAAGCAGAACATGAGCCCAGCCCCAGAATTGTTGTAAGCCCAACTGCCAAGCTGAAGAAAAAGACATTAGATGTTTGTGGAAGCCACTCGCTTCACTCCCATAGACTCTTTCCTTTACCTTTGGCCTTGCCTTTCAGGGTTCTGACTGCTGGAACCTTTTGAATAGGTATTCAGACAAAAATTCAACAGGGAACAGTGTTTCTAAAACTTAGATCCCCAAGAGGGGCATACATAGGTGGAGAAGGTTCATGTTGGGGGGGGCATCTTTTACTTCCTCTCCTGGTCCTCTTGTCTTTTTACTCTCCATGTGAAACTAGAGATGGCCAAGGACTGGCTTAGATGTAGGTGGAGACCAAGCCTATTGCCACATAGACACACCTTTGTAAATGTTTGCTATCCTCAAATATCACTAAAAGAGTCTTTAAAATTCAAATCTGGTCTTGAAAGAAAGGTCAAGTCACATATACTTGGGAAATGGGGAGTTCTCTTTTTCCGGGTTGGCTTTGCTAACCTTCACCTGGCATGTGGCAGTTTTGAGCCTGGGGATATATATACCAGTCCCTGTAAGCAGTCTGCCTAGAACAGTCACACTCATACTGGAGCCCACACACCAGTGGGATGATGGTCATTTTCTACCACCAAGGAGCGGGTGTTGCCTTTCTCGGGGCCCTCCTGAAGCATGGTAAAATCAGTCAGCTGAAACCTTCCCTGGCTCCAATTGGCTGGCAATCTGTGTACAGGGTCACATCAAAGACTTTCTGTTTGTTTGTTTCTGCTCTCACAAATTTCTCTCTAAGAAAGTAATCTTTCTCCTAGCTACCATTAAGGATGGAATTGGGGGCATGGTAGTTGGCTCAATGGAGTTCATTTTTCCAAGTCATTCACCTAATAAGATATTTTTGAGAGTTCCATTTTTTCTCTCTACTTTTCCCCCATGATATTTGATGTTTTCCCTCTCTGTGATAAACATGCCCGGTCTAAAGCAAAAACTCTGATTTGAGATTAGGGGCTATAGAAAGAATGTGTGTTCCTTGAACACAGCATGAGAAAGTAGGAAGTGTCCTGAAATTGTATCTACTGGAATGCATGTGGTAGAGATAGAAACAGGAGGGTGAGGCAGGGGGGCAGTTCTTTGAATGTAAAAATGGCAGCAGATGGTTTCAGGGGCTTCTGTAGTGCTCCTTCAGCCCTTGATGTCCCTCATGCAGATTCTTGATTGGCAGCAGTGACGTGAGGCTGGAATCTAAGTTTTCAACAACATTCTGCAACTGACTTTGATCTAAGTCCTGGCAACAACCAGCTGCTTTCTAATTTCTTTTACATGGTTTAAAGGCCTGGTAGAATGGAGGCTGTTTGGGGCCTTTTCATTCGTTTTCCCCTTGCTTTTCTTCTCCGCTCAGTAGTAAAATTGCATCATGGGATTCCTTCAAAGCATCTTCGTCTCCTTGGCAACACAGCCCATAGTGTCAGGTCCTGTCAGCACTCAAGGTCCGGTGTCACCTGGCTCCCCACCGAGTGCAGAGTATTGTAGGCACATCTAATTATCTATAAAAATAGTCATTCCCTCTATGTATACATGAAGATGTGGGCATGCCCAAAGCCACACAGAGCGAGCAGACTACAATTTGCACTTTTGTTGTTCTTGCCAGGACAAGCGTTCCTCATGAAGCCCTGTAGGGGGCATGCTCCCTCCCCAAGGAGCAACTGTAAGAAGAGTGGCTGAGATCCACAACACTCTCCTTGTTGAGCAGAATGCAAAATTTGATGTCCGGCCAGCAGGTTGGCAGTTGCAGCTGCAAACAGAAGTGGCTGGTTTTTCTTCCCCTTCCCAAATGGAAATGTCATTCAGCTTCTTTTAAAATGGATTTCCTATGTTGATTTTTCATTGTAAATGACTCAGCAACCCTCAGCACTGGAGGCTTTCTAAGCATTGTTGGCTGTAATAGGTGGCCTTGGATTTTGTTGCTGGGGCCTGAGTGTAACATAGAAAAACATCTTTCCCCAGGAAGGGGGGCTTTGGGGTTTGTTTGGGAACTTGGGTTTTAGCAGTGTGCATTGTTCTATCAGCCGCTTCCTTACTTCATCTTGTCCAGTGAGTGTAGCTATTGAACTTGACCCGTGATTGTGAATTAGGTTTCGGACCTAGTCTCTTTTTCCAGTGGGTACTGGAGGAAATAAGCTTTGTTAAGGATGCCCTGGGGAGAAGGTCAAGCCAATGCGACATGAGAGGACTTCAGAGTGGCATCTATCAGATTCTTCCTTTGACATCTCAGAGAGGAATGTAATGGCCAAGGTTGTCCATTTTGGTGGTAGATCCAGGTTGGGAAGCCAATTTTCCTGATTCTCAGTTTCTCCCTGACCTAATTGCCCCTCCAGGACTGCCACACAGGGAAGAAGGGAGGATCATCCAGGTGATCTGGCTAGGTGACAGAGAGGCCAGAATGTGTGTGCAGAGCCTCGATGGACAGTATTCACTGAGCTGTGGCACATAAACCCAAACTTTACAAACATGTTACAAGACTGCGTGTGTGTTAGGGACAGAACCCAAAGTTCTGGGTATGCTAGGCACTCAGTCACGCCTCCAGCCTCAACTGTGTCTTGGAAGTATTCAGAAAACATGTTTCTATAGCAGAAGGGTTCTCTCTAATTGGCTCCTTTCTGTAGACTAGGGGACATAGAGTCAGACGTTCATCTTGAGGACTTGAGGAGGTCCACTCTACTATTGCCTGTTGTCCCAGGACTGGATGCAAATCTTGACGACTCTCACTAGCCAATGGCTCTCATTCCATCCACTGGTGATTTCCTTTGCCCACCAAGCCCCCGAAGCTTGCAGGACAGGGTGATGACACTGGGGAACTTGTTGGGGGGAAATAGCACCTGCTAGACCATCCTGTTTGTTTCCTTTGGGCAAGGGAGGTGGTGAAGAAGGGACATTTCATGAGTCTGCAGTGTGGCTCCAGGGTCTTCTCCAGCACTTGTGTTGTGGTCAGTGTTGGCAGGTGGGCCATGCTCTGAGTTTAGCGGGGGCTTCCAGAACTTCTCTGCAGAGTTCTTATGCCCTCTTGTACTTCTCAAGAGTGAGAAGTTGGTGGTCTCCTTGGAGTTTGGCAATCTGAATAATTGTATCAGTAAAGAGAAGCTAGCCAACCCAACTGGCCTTTTCTCCCCTGCATCAGGGTTCTTATTTGCTGGAGCCCTTCAGAGGGCCAATGAAGCCTTGGCTCCCTTCCAGGCTACTGACATGTTGCACTACTGAATACTCTCAAATCTGCTGCAGCCTTTTGTTTACACCAGCAGAGAACGGAGTGATCAAAAGAACATTCTAGTTGAAATGCTTGTTGCTTAGTGCAGCGATCAAAGCTTGCCTGGGCCAGTAGAGCAGGGAAGTCATCATGGCCATGGAGTCACCGTGTCAGTGTTGTCTCCTGTGCCCTGTCCAGCTCTCTGCTGTCCCCTGCAGCCACCACAAGGGCTAGGCTGTTCAATGAGCCCCATAGCTTCTAAGAAATGCAATGGCTTATTTGTAGTGCTAAGTGATATCCCAGGTGAAGAAGCAAAAGCCTACGACCTGACCTGCCCCTATATTCTGCCCTGTCCCTTGTTTAGGGGAGGGAGAACTTTCTAACAACTATGGCTTTGCTTGCTGCCTGGTGCTTTTTTAGTATGTCATTTGTTTTCATTTCCTCTTTTAAAACCAAAATTGCATTGGTTTGGTTGTCATTGTCAGGTGTATATTTATTGTTTTACAAATGTGAGTATATATGTATGTGTATGTATAAAACCAAACTTATATATAAAAAGTCAAGGCATGTATACTAGATATTTTAAAGTTATTTATCAAAGGGAAAAGATGAGTGTTATAAAGTAAAACAGAGTCTATATTTTATATATAATGTAGATACCAAAAGATAGCTTATAAATTATAGGTTTTACTTTTTTTGTTTTCTATTATTAAACAAAAATACAGAATTTTAAAAGGTATTTAAAAGATAAAGGAGAACAAATGCAACAGTGCTTCGTGTTTTTGAGGCAAACTGATAGGGAGCTGGCCTGCCTTTCCTCTGCAGTTCCAGGCTGAGGGGATGGCAACCCCTGGGGCCTGTGTGATGCTCTGGGCCAGGGTAGGCATGCTCAGCCAGCTGTCTGGGCTGCTCCAACATTGCTTCCAGCTGTTCATGAATGGCTTTGATGGGATGAGCGTTGGTGGGAGAAAGGATGAAAATGGCAAATAAAGTCTTCAAAGAAGTGGTGAGTCTGGCCTCGTTTTGTTTTTCTAACCCGAGATGCTCTGGACTTGGGGGCTACTCAGTATGGGGCTTTGTAGCAGAAAAGTGGTACATTTGAGGGAGGGGGCTTTAGAGTGAGGCTGTCAGCATCCATGAAGCTGAAAAGGTGGGAATCATTGGATATGTACTGGAGCAGTCTGTTTCAAATCACTATTTTGAAAATGGTGAAACAGAGAGAGCCTACTTAAGGATTTGGGCATCTATGTGTAGCTACATGTGTGTGAGTATGGGGCAAAGGCTAGGCCAGAGAAGAAGATAAAGCACAGCTTTTACATTAGAGGAACAGAGTTTAGAATTTTCTCATTCAATATCATAAAGATGATTCAGTGGTACATACCTATAATCCCAGTATTCCAGAAGTAGAGACAAGAGAACCAAGAGTTTGAGTCCATCCTTGGCCACAGAGCAAGTTTGAGTCCAGCTTGGGCTACATGAGATCCTGTTTCAAAAACCCCCAAACCAATAAGAGCATCTTTGTCTGCCTTGTGTTTCGTCTTGAGAACAGCCATTTTGGACTGAGCTCAACTTAGCTGGAAATTTGCATGACATGGAGTCCCTCATGATAGGCTTGGCCTTCCCTCTGCTGTGCCTTAGCAGAAAGTGCACAATAATTTCTTCTGGACTGCACCTTCCCTTTACTTGAACAGCTCAAAAAGGTACCACAAAATCCAAAACCTCCTTATTCACAGATACATCATACATACAACCCACCCCCACATAGCATCTTTCCTCTTTACCAGCAGGTTTCTGCATCTACACACATGAGTACATTACCCAGGACAATAGCACACCTTTGGATTCTTCAGTGACCCTCATCAAGGCAGTGCAGTAAAGTGAAAGAACCCCCTGCCCAATGGTGGAGCTTGTTAAGATGGGACCACAGCCTCTCCACTTCTCCCAATGAGCTAACCTGGGAACCAACACTCAATGCAAACCACAATCCTAAGTACTTATACACACTTTCAGTCTAGGAACTAATTCTTCTTTCCCAGGTTCTGGGCTTTCTTTGTGATGCTGACTGCTCCCAAATCAGGATCATTTCTTCATAAACCAGAATCATATAGGTTGAATATTCCTAACCTGAAAAATCTGAAAGCCCAAATGTCTGAAATCTGAAGCCTTTTGAGCACCAACATGATGGACTTTGCAGCATTTTGGCTTTGGCTTTTCCCACGAGGGATGCTTAACCAGTATTCCCATATTCCCAAATCCTCAAACATCAACCCAAACTTCCCCAAAGCCAACAAGTGGAGCATACCCAGGGATCTCAACTACACTGGAACCAAGCATGGATTAGGAATATGCCATCTGCCCTGCTTCATGCGGAGTCACAGACTAGATTAAGACTGCTGCCAGGCTCTTGACTGCTACCCTATGGAATGGCCAGACTTTTCTAGCACACCATCCAGGTTCCTCAGAGATCAAACGGGAACTCCATGTGTCTGCCCATATCTGACTGTCAACCCCATCCCACCCCTACAAACAGCCCTACCTTCTAGTTTCCCTTCCTACCTTTTTTTTTTTTTTTTTTTGAAGTAGGGTTTCTCTACATAGCCCTAACTGTCCTGAAACTCACTATGTAGGCCAGGCTTGCTTTGAACTTACCTGCCTCTGCCTCTTAAGTTCTTGGATTAACCTACATCATCATCATCATTATATGATTTTTCTTGTTATTCTCATGTATTTAGTATTTATTATGACAAGTCTGGTTGGTTACATTAAAAATGCAGTACCTATCATATTTTATGGTGAATTGCATGTATACAAAGTATGTGGACATCTGTGTTAAAATGGGAAAATCACTAATTTAAGCAATAAGGTCCCACTTTCTGAGTCATGGCTGCCTTGTTCTTGCCTGAGCAGAAAAGGTCTCTTTGCCTAGATCTCCCCAGACTTTGTCCCACCCCCTGTTAAAAGGCTGTTCAAGACATCTAGATGAGATGAAAAGGCACATCCTCCCACAGAGTTGGCGCCAAGTCAAAAACACAGCTTTGTAGCTCTCTGAAACTAAGACCTGTTCTGAGAAAGCTGGTGCCGGTTAAACTCTTCCTTCAAATGCCTTTGCCTGCTCCTTCAAGTCTGGGCTTCCCTTGATTCTTATCTCTGAGTCTGCATCTGCTGGGTGAATTCCTGAGGGGTGACGAGCTATGACTGCCTTTGTGTTGAGACTGAGGCCTAACCACAGGTCTGCAAGATAAACTCCACAGAATCTAACCAAGTGCTTGGACTTCCTCTAAAATGTTGTACTAATTACAGAAATACCTTTATCTCCTAATTGCATACAGATTCAGATTGCCTTGAAGTAAACCACACTTTTCCCTTCAGCTATCTGTGAAAATAGAAGATTAAATAACTTAAAGGGGGGTTTTCTAGGTCAATTCCAGTTGTCCCTTAGTATCCTAGAGGGATTTGGTCCAGCATCCCTACATATGCCCAAGCCCATGGGTGCTCAGGTCCTTCCTGTAAAATGGCATGCTGTTTCATGGAACCTCCACCATCCTCCATATACCTTAAATCATCTCTGGATTACCTATACCAAACACAGGGGTGGGTGAGATGGCTCAGTGGGTAAAGGTGCTTATGGCTAAGCCTGGCAACCTGAGTTTGATCCCTGAGGGGTCATGTGGACTGTAGAAGGAGAGAACCGACTTTCAAGAGTTGTCCTCTGACCTCCACATGCATGGTATGGTGCACAATCTGTGTGCATGTTTACACACACACACCAGATGTTTTAAAGTATCAAATACAATGTCAACATTATGCAAATAGCTGTTAGACTTATTGCTTATGGAATAGCAACAAGATAGTCTGTAATGGTCAGTCCATGTTTCATAATGTTTTAGCGAAACTCCAGTCAGCAACTCAAACTGTGATTTTTACAATCAAGAGTTCTATTACAATCCAATCCAAATATATACTAATTTGATATTAACTTGCTGAAGAATGATGGCAGGAGACATTGAAAGTCACTTTCTCTGTAATTAAACCACTGTGTTTCTATAAGAGCAGAAATGTTTGCACAGTGAAAGTGCTGCAGTTCCCAACACTGGACAGCTTTGACTCCACACTGAGTTTTGAATAGCACTCCTTAGTTGCATGTAGCATGATGTGTAATGATAAGTCTTTACTCCAAGCTGCCCAAACCCTGCAGCCACGTGGGTGCTTTCTGCCAGGCTGCCCAAATTCCACCAGCCACCACGTTAAGGTCCCAAGTAACACACAGAGACTTATATTAGGAACAAATGATGCTTAGCCAAAGACTAGGATTTCTTATATGCTAGCTCAGTCTTAATTATCATAAATCTATATATTTTATAAGACTTATCTCATCGGATGCCAGCAAAAGTGTCCTGTCTTCCTGGGCTCACATGGTGACTCTCAAGCAGAGACCAGGAGGAAGAACAAGAGAAAAGGGACCACTTCCTTCTTGTTCTTGTTTATATATGAGTCTGCCTGCTATGTCACTTCCTGCCTGGATCACAAGACTTCCTTACTACATTTCCCAGAATCTTCCTTGACTCCTAGTCCCAACTATTTTGCTTCCTCATTGGCCAAGCAGTACTTTATCAACCAATAAGACAATCATATACACAGAAGGACCTCCCCCATCAATGATGACTGCATGTTCTGTGTAAAGTGCACATGTTGTATGCTCAGAACCAAGGCAGTAAAGTTACAAGATACTACATGGGCAAGTTCTGTAACAACACCTAGATTTGGTTTAATCAAGTTTTGGTGCTAGCACATTCATAAACCTTTATTGTTGTTAATGTTTTTGGTGACCACTATAATCAATTATGTGACCTCATAAAGTGTCAATTCACAGTTTAACAAGCTGGTATAGTTGAATTAATTTCTTGGTCATCAATGGGACTCAATCATAAAAACCACCATCTGTCTATACCATTGTCTTCATCCATTCCTTATTGGCCATCAGTGCCCTAAGAAGGAACCCCAAGATGACCCAGTGTGGATCAGCTGATGGGCAGAGCTTGTGTACAAAGTTAAGGCTCAGCCAAAACCACCCCAAAGCCACTAATTCTTAGAATGAAATAGTCTCAAACAAGTCTAGGGTTAGGGTAGGACTCTACCCTCTCAAGAAAGGGTTAATCAATGGCTTCAGATACCTCACGAGAAAGGACGAAGCACATCTATCATCTAGGTTACCCTGGGGAAGACAGTAAGCCTGGAGACCCACTGTGTTCTTGGGTTTCATCTGGGACAAATTTGCCAACAGATGAGGTGGCTCTTCTCTGTGCAAAGCTGAGGAATCTGGACTGGATATTCAGGTTTCTGGCACAAAGTAGGAGACAGAACTAGCCTCCAAACAGCAGCTGTGTAGGGATCCAGCTGTGAAGGAACAACACTACTCAGATCACGGATGAGGCTGGGGGGTGGGGGAGGGATGGCAATAACAGGATGGCAAGGGGAACAGGGCAGTAGCTGAATGATAGTAGCATGGCAAGGGTAAATATAGATGGGAAGGGAGAAGGCAGATGAAAGGCCAGAGAGCTAGGCATTCAAGATACGGAAGGCTATGGCGATAAGCAAATGCCACATGACAGATGTGGAATAAGAGCTCCTTGCAGAAGACGGGCCTTAGCTCCAAGAACAGCTTGTATGGGGAGGAGGATGGCGATGAGAAGGAATGACGGAGGAGTTTCTTCAAGAAGTTTATGAAATCGGCTGTCCAAAGCTATCAAGCTGTTTGCATTTGTGGAAAATATGTTCAATGTCTCCCACTGTGCTTTAAGCAAGTGACATCTATTGTGTCCCCTCCTTTCTCGTTGCTTTTCCTATTTGCAAATTCCCCAAACCTGGCAAAGACACAAAGGCTGCCATTTCGCCTTCTCCTGGGTCTTTTGGCCCTTACCACTCAGTGCCTGCCTTTATCTTCTTGGCTCTTCTCAGCTTTCAGAGAGCTTACCCACCAGCCTGTCGCTCAGTCCCCCTTCTCTTCC